GTAAAATGTATTCCTGATCAGTTTGCATTATTGGTATTTTTACAATAAAAATATATTTTTATGCTTTAATTGTGTTTTGACCCCAGTTTGGGGTTTAACTATTTACCCATAGCTGGGATCCTAACAGGTGCTACTACCCCGGGTCATGGTGGACCTGGGAACAACAGCAATCAAGATGCTGCTGTTTTCTATTAGAAAATTCGTTTGGGGTGAGGTAAATGATCATTTATCTTCTGTTCACATCTGCATGCGCAGAGAATACTCTAGAAAGAGATTAAATAGACTGGAACTCTCATTTCCTTCTTGCATTGTCGATGAGGTTTGTGTTGGGGTCGGCACCAGACATGTACGACTTTTTGCACGTATATTTTTGCATTCTATGGGCACCTAGTCGTGGAGAAATAGTTAGCAAGCTGGTCTCGCTAAAACAATTACAACTGAATAGTGAGTTCGATCCTCACTGGGTGCCCCATACTTTTGGCCATGTGCCGCATCTAAGCTACGCTTAGAAAATCATTTAGGGCACCTCGAGGTCGTGTAATGGTTAGCAAGTTTGTCTCGCTAGAACAATTACGGCTGAATTCTGAGTTCAATCTTCACTGGGTGCCCCTTACTTTCGGCCTTGTGCCAGACCTAAGCTACGCTTGGAAAATCTCTATATTTTTGTCCTGTATTAGATGTAGGCATTCAGTAGAGTCCAATACAGGAAGATATTCTTTACCCCGGACTCTCCACTGAGACAAAATGTTACACAAGGTCGGGTTTAACGAGAGGTACCCGAGTTCGTACACCCGGGCCAAGGATTGCTCAACCTCGCAAACGTAGGCTAACCTGGCATCGGTATGGGAGGGTTGCAGTGTTTATTTTCCTCAGCTGCATCTCGGGCAGAGACACAACTGGGTCGTACTCTTCCCGAAGACAGAGACGCAACTGGAAGATGATAATTCTCTCCCAACAAGGACCAAAGAAGATGGCTTTTAATGAATGAGAAGCGGAAATCTAATGATGTGGTCATATGATTCTGTGTGATTGGCAACCTCTTTCGAGAGAATGAAATGAAATTAAGTGGCTGATCGAAAAAAAAAAAGAATAAAAAGATAAGAACACTTGTACTTAATATCAGGAAGAAGCAGTTGAAATTTCTACTGCACCTAATGTGGAAAGAGGGCTTGGAAAACCTGATACACACAGAACAGATAGAAGGCAAGAGAGACAAGAAACTAGGAGAGAAAACAAAAAGATAAAATTTACTAAGAGCTACAAAGGACGGGAAATTGTGGAAAGCCATAATCGGCTACACCCTGAAGGATCATCGCACATAGAAGAATGGTTTAGTGATACAAGTCTTACTAATTAACCCATAGCTGGGGGAGAAGAGGTGGATTCATACCTCTCCCAACGATATTTGCGTTCAAGTGAATATAACGAACCCAACAGGAATTGGAACTTGGCCTCTCCGATTTATGATTCCTAGTCATTACCTATTACACCCGCACAGTATTCGCGGTCATTCATTTAGGTACTGACCCGACTTCATGTTGCTTAACTTCAATGATCGTAAGGGAACTATTGTTTCAACTTACCTGGCATCTCGTCTACAGTTGCTCTCTCACAGACGCGCCGTCGCCTCTCTCTGTCTTTTTTACAAATACTTTCATGGTAATTGCTCCGATGAGCTGCTTTCACTGGTTCCCAGACTTCATGAGTTCAAGTGCCCCACGAGGCCGGCATCCACTCTCACCCTTTCACTGTAGAAACTTTTAAATGTAGCCGTCTCTTCTACTCCAATAGCTTCATATCTCGCACCTCTCGCCTGTGGAACACCCTTCCCTATTCCAGTTTCCCTGAGAGCTATAATTTTCATCTATTCAAATGTAATGTCAATCGACATCTCCAGTTACCTTGATCTATCCACTATCCTTCTCCTCATCCTTTCGTCAATCACTCCTATCTGCTCTCGCTCCAAATCTTCTGTAACCCCCTGTATCCGAGTGGCTTCACGCCTTGCTCGGGGCGTAATGCTTAAAAAAAGCTAAATCTACCAGAGAAGTGATGTTGTGATATATGGTGATTTTCTAAGTGTAGCTTAGATAAAAGTATGGGGCTCCCAATGGGGATTGAACTCACTAGGGAAAACTTGCTAAGCATTACACCATGTCTATGTGCCTTTTATGATTTCCTAAGCGTAGCTTACATGTGACACAAGGCTGAAAATATAGGGCATTCAGTGAGGATCGAATTCACTATTCAGTCGTAATTTGTATTTACTCACTACGAGGTCAAGTTGTGACACATGGTCGGTTTAATGTGAGGAGCCCGAGCGCGTACACCCGGGCTAGGAGGAAAAATTGCCCGAGACCCCGCAACCATCGTTTGCGCTGGCCTCGGTGCGAGAACCCATCCCTTTCTCTGGTGCAATGAGAAGGCGCGGCCTCGGGCAGCAGTTCCTCAGGGCTGGGAACTTCTCAGTATAATTTTCCTTAGTTACACTCTGTCCTTTGACAGAGCTACCCCTGAGCGCACTCTGCCCAAAGGCAGAGACGCAACTGAGAGATGATAAATAGGATGTCACAAACTACTCGAGATAGTACTTTACACACTTAGATGTGGCACAAGGCCGAATGAATGGGCACCCAGTGAGGATCGAACTCACTACAGTCGTAATTTTTCTAGCAAGACAAGCTTGCTATTACACCGCCCCGAGGTAGACAAATACTTTTCTATGTGTAGCTTGGATGTCACACAAGGCTGAAAATATGGGGCACTCAGTGAAGATCGAACTCACTGTTAAGTCGTAATTGATCTAGCAAGACAAGCTTGCTGAATATTAAACTGCGTCGAAGTGGCCAGATGTGATATATGAACTGAATTGAAGTGCTCAGTATTATTGTCATGCTTAAATCCGCTTTGTTTTATAAAGCAACAGGATTATAACAGAATTAACATAGCAAAATTATATGAGCACTTCGACGTTGTACAAATGGTTAGCAAGCTCTTCTCGCTAGATCAATTACAACAGAATAGTGTGTTCGATCTTTACTAGGCACCCCATACTTTTGGCATTGGGCCTCATCTAAGCTACACTTAAAAAATTACCATAACGAAACTAAAGGGTGTTTCATTAAGAAGGATAATATATAAGAGTGTTTCATTAAGACGGATCAAAGTCAGCAGTAAATAAATCAGTGTTATTGATAAAAATTTATTTATTTCTCTATTGGATCATGTTATTTAAGTCATGGCAATTATGTGTGAAAAATAATATCGCCCCAAATCCCTGCCAAATCTAAAAGAAAAAAAAAATCATTAGATGCTTAAACTTAATTCACATTGAAAATCTGTCCAAGTTATTGGAACACTCTTTATGACAGAAGTAGACATTGAAGGAGGAATTGGAATTACCCACTTAGTAATATAAATATATTGAGCCGAATTGGCATCATTTCAGCTCCTGTGGAAAGACACTAGATTTTTCACTAGATTTTTTAACTATATTTATTCTTCAAATAAAGCAAAAAATTTAGTAAGCTCAAATAGGAAAATGTTTGATTGAATCATGTATAAAATACCGTTTTTGTTTCTTATTTTTATGAAAATAATGTACAGTTACATTTTATTCAATTATATATTCACCATTATTTACAATGGTAGACCGTCGATATCTTTTGAATAAAATTCCACAGGTTTTGATATGAAAATACTTATCGATTTGCTCTAGAATCTGATCTGCATTAGAGAAAGCTTTTTTCCTATCAAAGGGACTAGCAGCGATCGAAAATGGTAATAAGCTTTTTAAACAAATTTAGGTGAATATGGCAGTTCAGGTCGAACAGAGTAGGCGATTCCAATTCTTTTTTCCTTGTGTTTTACGATATGCAAGCCTTGCGTTTTTATGTAGAAGAGAAGTTTTTTTCCCTTTAATCCACTGTGTACGCTGCTACTTCCGTGCAAAAACTAAAATATAATAGTATTATTCTAGTTAATTCTGAACTGCCACGTGTGATTAATAGTTGGATGATACATTCGCCATTACAATTGGTTACCCAAAACGAATTTACTTATGACTTAACCTAATATAAGGAGAATTATATTTTATCATTCTTGTCACTTTGGCGATCAGCTTGTAAAGATGTCAGCCGCCGAGAAAGTCACGTTTTGATTTTTTTAAAAATTGTTTCACTCCAAGCAAGGCAATAGAGCCACTAAGACACAAGGGGTCACCGAGTGTGAGAGAATATGAGAAAAAAATTATTAAAGAGAAGGAGCAATAAAAGGACATAAATTAAGCAGACAGAAGATAACGATTGATATTGAGGATTAAATTTGACTTGAAAGTAAGAGGCCGAAAGAGAGTTCCATAAGCGAAAAGTGCGATAGAAGATACATTTACAGTTAAATATAACCATTCCAACTGTAAAATGGTGAGACCTAATTGCCAATCTAGTACTGCACTTAAATTCATAAAGTCTACACCCCATAGAAAATACTATAGAAAAATCATTCATAGACATGTTTCCTAATGATTAAATATATTTTAGTCTATGACGCAGTTCCATAACAGAGGACGTATTGTAGGAGCAAATAGCGGGTCGAACGACAGCAAAATAGTTAGGACGCAAATACGAGTCTAAAGAATTAGACGTGTTTTAGAAGAAGAAACATTTCGATAGGAAAGTAAAGAATGAAGTTAAAATAAAGCAAAAGAAAAAATAAGGAAAATGCAAACAATGGACGATGAAAGTTGGGAATTTCATAGAATTTCTTTTTAACTTATTTCAGCGATGGAACCTGCTGTGACGGGAAACATAAGTTGATTTAAACAATAAGGCCAATAGTGAGTAATCTAGTAGCACAAGTTCGACGGGGGGTGCCCAGTCGAAGAGTTTTCATTGCTTGGTGGCAAAGGGATTATTTGCAAATCGGAATAGTTCTTTTTTGTTTTGTTTAAATGGGAAAAAAGTAAGAAAGATGAAAAAGAAAGAGTAAAGACAAAAACAAACTGGATACTGAATAAATGGAGGGCGCGGAATAAAAAAAAAGAAAAGAGAGAAAAATAAAGAAATGGCAGTAAAGAGGAAAAGGAAGTAAAAAAAAATGAAAGAAAGAAGAGAGGATAAGAAGAATAATTAAACAAAGGAAAGATGAAAAGAGGAAAGTAATTAATAAAAGAAAGGAGGGAAAAGGGAAGAATGAGAGTGAAGTAAAGAGAGAGAAATAAAAGAAAGAAAGAAAGAAAGAAAGAAAGAAAGAAAGAAAGGAAGAAAAGCGGAGGAGGAAGAACAAAGGAAACATGAAAAAAGCAAAATAGGAGAAATGAGAAAACAAATGAAAGTCAACGTAAAGAAAGAGTGAAAGAAAAAGAAAACGACTTATATAGAGAGGACAGGAATAACCACATGAAAGAAGAGAAAGTATGATTGAAAGAAAAGAAAGAAGAAAAGACCGGCGAGAAAGAAAAAAGAACGAAAAAAAAAATGAAACTGGAGGAAATAACAATAGAATAAATGAAAAAATGAAGGAGAAAGAAGAGAAGAAAGATGAAAAACAAAAAGAAACAAAAATAAACGAGAGAAGAAATAATATGAAACCAAGAGAAAGAAAGAAAGAAAGAGAAAGTAAAGATAGAAGGGTCGTAGTATAAAAAGGAGGAAAAAAAGAAGAAAAAGGGGCAAGAAAAAAGGGGGAAGAAACTCAGTAAATAAAGAAGAAAAATAAATACATGTATGAAAGACGAAAAATATTGATGTTGCGAGTTTTGAGAAAGAAAAGAAAGAATGAAAAAGGAAAGAAATTAATTAACGGAATAAAAAATTTAGAAAACAAAAGGGAGATTCAGAGAAGATTCAGAAATGAAAGAAAAGAAGCGGGAAATTATTAATTTAATTTATAAATATAACCTAATGAGAATAAGGAAGAAAAAGGATCAGGTAGGTGGGTATGTAGATAGATAGATAGATAGATAGATTAGAACAGAATGAGAGAGGGAGAGATAAATATATTTGAACAGAATGAGATAGAGAGGGAGAGAGATATATTTGAACAGAATAAGATAGATAGATTTGAACAGACTGAGATATATAGATAGATAGATAGATAGATAGATAGATAGATAGATAGATATGGACAGGCTGAGATAGATAGATAGATAGATAGATAGATAGATAGATAGATAGATAGATAGATAGATTAGAACAGAATGAGATAGATAGAGAGGGAGAGATAAATATATTTGAACAGAATGAGATAGAGAGGGAGAGATATATATTTGAACAGAATAAGATAGATAGATAGATTTGAACAGAATGAGATAGCTAGATAGATAGATAGATAGATAGATAGATAGATAGATAGATTTGAACAGAATGAGATAGATAGATAGATAGATAGATAGATAGATAGATAGATAGATAGATAGATAGATTTGAACAGAATGAGATATATAGATAGATAGATATTTTTAGCAGAATGAGATAGATAGTTTTGAACAGAATTATATATATATATATATATATATATATATATATATATATATATATATAGATAGATAGATTGATAGATAGATAGATAGATAGATAGATAGATAGATTAGCAGACAGATAGATAGAGCGAAATAAATATGTAAATAATCAGTGAAAAGAAAGCAGAAAATGAAAGAAGAAAAAGATACAAAGGGTTAGGGGAAAAAGAAAAGAAGGAAAAAGAAAATAAATATTTAAGAATTGTGTGAAAAAATGGAAAGAAAAAAGAAAGAAAAGTGTTACGAAACAGTGAAAAAAATAAAGAAGAAAAAAGGAGTTAGGAATCAGAGAAAAAGGAATAAGTGATAAAGAAAGAGGAAGCCGTATTAAATACGACAACGTCATGCTGAGTTAAAGAACAAAAGAAAATAGAAGAAAAATTGGCAAGAATGGTTCTAAATGCATCAAATAAACGAAAAGAAAGGAGAAAAGGGCTGTGTAGTAGAACCGAAATATTTATTAAAACATTTAAAAAGAATGCAGTAACAAAATAAATCCAAAATTGAATAAACGAACTGGTTGCTTCCAAAAACAACAATGTGTCTAACACATAAGAAAAATAAATGATCAACAATTGTTGATGTTTACTTTCTCAATATAACATTCCTACGTTGGATTATTTCACAAAGTTCTATATTTTCCGCTAGCATTTGATAAACCGAAAGGAAACAGAAAACTTCAGTGTTTCGGTTCGTTTTTTGTTTGAATTCTCAGTTGTTTTCTTTTGTCTGATCTTATGTGATTATTCCTTCGTCGGCAGATACATTCCTTTACCGAAAAATTCGGCGGGAGACGGATGCATTCACCACAGGAGAGATACTAACCACTCCTTCAT